GAAGAGTGTGGGTCCTGGCTAGAAGAGTGTGGGTCCTGGCTGGAAGAGTGTGGGTCCTGCTGGAAGAGTGTGGGTCCTGGAGGAAGAGTCCGGGTCCTGGCTGGAAGAGTCTGGGTCCTGGCCGGAAGAGTGTGGGTCCTGGCCAGAAGAGTGTGGGTCCTGGAGGAAGAGTCCGAGTCCTGGCTGGAAGAGTCCGGGTCCTGGCCGGAAGAGTGTGGGTCCTGGAGGAAGAGTGTGGGTCCTGGAGGAAGAGTGTGGGTCCTGGCCGGAAGAGTGTGGGTCCTGGAGGAAGAGTCCGGGTCCTGGCCGGAAGAGTCCGGGACCTGGCTGGAAGAGTGTGGGTCCTGCTGGAAGAGTCCGGGTCCTGGCTGGCGCAGACAGTCATTCAACACTCACAGTTGTGATCCCACTGACTGAATTTTCTGTTTGTTTTTTAACAGCTTTGTCAAGATATAAGTTACAGACCACATGATTCCCCATTTAAAGTGTACAACTCAATGGCATCAGTGTATTCACAGTGTTGTGCAACCATCACCATAATCATTTTCAAAACCCCAGAGAACTCCCCGTGTGAACTAGCAGTCCCTTCCCTCTTCCATTCCTTAAACCCTCAGCAATCACCATTTGCTTTCTGTCTTTATAGATTTGCCTATTCTGGACATTTCAAACAAATAGAATCATACAATAAGAGGTCTTTTTTGTCTGGCTTCTTTCACTTAGCACAATGTTTTCAAGGTTCATCCATGTTGCAGCAGGTATTATTGTATATATACTCACATTTCATTTATCCATTCATCAGTTGATAGACGTTGGGGGTTGTTTCCAGTTTTTGGCTATTATGAATAATGCTGTTATGGACATTCATGTACATGTGTTTGTGTGGACATGTTTTCAGTTCTCTTGGGTATGTATCTACAAGTGGAATCACTGGGTCATGTGGTAACTCTAGGTTTAACATTTTGAGGAACTGCCAAACTGTTCTCCAAAGTGGCTGCACCATTTTTACATTCTCACCAGCATTGTATGAGGGTTCCAATTTCTCCACCTCCTCCCCAACATTTGTTATCCGTCTTTTTTTTTTTTTACTGAGGAAGATTCACCCTGAGTGAACATCCACTGCCAATCTTCCTCTTTTTGTGTGTGGGTCACCACCACAGCATGGACACTGAGAGACGAGTGCTGTAGGTCTGTGCCCGGGGAACTGAACCTGGGCCACCGAAGTGGAGCATGCCAAACTTAACCACTAGGTCCCTGGAGCTGGCCCCGTTATCTGTCTTTTTGATTAAACTTGTTGAGTGGATGTGAAGTCATATCTTGCTGTGGTTTTAATTTGCATTTCCCCAATGACTAACGAGACATTTTTGAGCATGTTTTCTGTGCTTAATGGCCATTTGTATATCTTCTTTGGAGAAATGTTTATTCAGATCTTTTGCCCATTTAAAAATTCTGTTATTTGTCTTCTTATTATTGAATTGTAAGAGTTTATATGTTCTGTATGCAAGTCCCTTATCAGATAGACAATTTGCCAGTATTTTCACCCAGTCTGTGGATTGGCTTTTCACTCTCTTGATGGTGTCCTATGAAGCAGAAAAGTTTTTAATTTTGATGAAGTCCAATTTATCTATTTTTTCTTTTGTCACTTATGCTATTTGAATCCATATCTAAGGATTTGCCTAACCCAAGGTTATGGAGAGTTACTCCTATGTTTTCTTCTAATCGTTTTGTAGTTTTAGCTCTTACATTTAGGTCTGTGATCCACTGGGAGTTAATTTTTGTGTATGGTGTGAGGGAGGGGTCATCCAGCTGTTCCTGTGCAACTTGTTGAAAAGATTATTCTTTCCCCATTGAATTGTCTTGGCACTCTTGTCAAAAATCAATTGACAAAAAAATAAATTATAAAAGTCAGAGTTTATTTTTAGACTCAATTCTATTCCATTGCTCTATATGTCCATCCTTACACCAGTACCACACTGTCTTGATTACTGTAGCCTTGGACTAAGTTTTAAAATTGGGAAATATGAGTCTTCCAACTTTGGTTTTCTTTTTCAAGATTGTTAGGGATATTCTGGGTCCCTTGTAATTCCATACGAATTTTAGGATCAATTTGTCGATTTCTGAAAAAAGTCAGCTGGGATTTTGACAGGGATTGCATTGATTCTGTAGATTAACTTGGGGAGTATTGTCATCTTACCAAGCCTTCCAACCCATAAACATGTGATGTCTTTCTATTTATTTAGGTCTTCTTTGACTTCTTTCCACAACGTTTCATAATTTTCAGAGTACAAATTTTGTGCTTATTTTGTTACATTCATTCTTTAATATTTTATTCTTTTTGATGCAATTGTAAATGGAATTTTCTTAATTTTATTTTTGCATTGTTCGTTGCTAGTGTATAGAAATACAATTGGATTTTGTATATTCATCTTGTACTCTGCACTTGCTGAATATGTTTATTAATTCTAATAGTTTTTTAGTGGATTTCTTAGGATTTTCTATATGCGAGACTATGTCATCTTCAAATAGAGTTTTGTTTCTTCCTTTCCAATTGGATGCCTTTTATTTCTTCTTCTCTTTTTTTGCCTAATTACCCTCTCACCAGGTTTTTAGGGCTGTCACTGTCACCTTGATTGGTTAAGTCCTGTCATTCCAATTGTTATACATTTGGAATCATGAGCCAAGCTTTGGGCTTCTGGGCTGAGCAGAGCTTTTCCTTTGATAAGCTAACTGCCCCTATCACAGTGGGAGTGTCAGCTTGTCTCCCAGGCTCTGCTAATTCATATCTCAGGGGAGGAGCCATCAGGGTCAGCTTCCTTCACAGTCAAAGTGAAGGTCTTACACCTTCAAAACCCTAAAGGCACATATACCCTGCAGTTCCCTTGTGAGGGTCCCCCCATCCATGGCCTTCAGCCACCACAATCTTCTTTATCAATACTCTTTGCTAATCCCCACCACTCAACAGTTTCCTGAGCACCAAAATCCTTTCCTCTGAACATTTAATAACACATTTGAACAGTTTTAAAACTTTACAGTAGGGGCATGTGGGTGTCTTCCCACGGTTAACCACAGGAAAGATGCATGATGAGAGAGAGGCTGATGTAACTAAGACTCTATAATGCACATGAACGCACGTACACTTGCGTGTGTGCACACAGAATCCGATATTCCGTCTGACAGAGGGCACAAACCCTCCATAACCGTGATGGGAAGCGGTGGGGAGTATGATCTTCCCCCGTTTGCTTCTGCACAGAACTCGCTGCTGTGATGTGTGGAGGTGGCAGGCCCAGGCCAGCGGTCAGCCACTCCAGGGAATGGAAGGGCAGCCTGGAAGCCCACGTGTCAGAGAGCAGAGCAGGCAGGTGGGTTCAGAGCTGCCCAAGTGAGGAGAGCTCGGAGCAGAACAGGTGGCCACGCCCCCTCGCTGTTGGGGATCTTGCCGTCCAGCAGGGTGGTGAGGAGTAAAGGGAAGGTGGCGACTCTCCGGCACTGACAAGCGTGGGGTGAGCAGTGGGCTTCTCTGTATTCAGCTCTCTTCCCAAATAGGATTCGGACCGCTATCTCTGAAGTGCCAGCACGCGGCGCAGAGCGGTCACGTCAAACCCGCATCCCCAGCACCTGGCTGGTCCTTCGTTACCAAGGTCGGCAGCCTTCAGCTGCGGGAGGAGTGAGCAGGGGTCAGCTGACAGGTGTGTGTTCCTGGTCAGCCTTGGCAGCTAAACTGATCACACTGCAGTCTCTAGTTTGACAGGGTGGCAGGATTTTCATCCAGTTGGTACATATCACAATATTTCTGGCACTCAGGGAGGATGTAACTGTTCAGAAAAAAAGGAATTTCACTTCCGTCATATCTCAGTCACTTCTCAGGCCCGGAGAGGTTGAACGTCTGGTAACTAGAGGAGGCAACCCTTGAACCCCTCTCCTGAAGGGCTCTGCTCTTCCGGGCTCCCTTCCTTGCTTCTCTGCAGAGGACCTTCCACAGGGAGGTACGCTGGGCCTCTGTCTTCCATTCAAGTCCAGGAGTAAAACCAGATATGGCTGCACAAATTAAGTCACGCTCTTGAACTCCATGCTGTCCAATAGGGCTTTCTGCAATGACGGAAATATTCTACATCTGTGCCATGTGACGCAGCTGCCACTAACCACACGTGGCTACTGAGCACTTGAAATGTGGCTCGTCCTGCGGAGGGACTGAATTTCTCATCTGAATTAATGTAAATTTACAGAGCCACATGTGGCTGTTGGCTACAGTA